GAGTGGAAAGAAGAGAGGGCGCGCGGGAAGCGGGGGCGAGCGGCAAAAGCGGGAGGGGAAGGGGGAAGAACGCGCCGCGCGCGGAGGGTATAGGGGACGCCATTGCGATGCCATTTGCAAACATTAATTTCTCGGAGTTAATTAAAGCCGCTATCTCTGTCTCGCTCCTTCTCTTTCTCTCTCTTCCCCCCCCCCTCTCTCTCTCTCGAATTCACGAGAACGGCGAGGATGACGACGACGACGATGTCGACGAGCGGACACCGTTAAACGTCGTCGCCGACAATCGTCTTTCTCATCGGAATATAACACAGCCGCGGAATGCATGCGGTTATACTTTACCTCCCACCCGGTACATGTTGGCCGTCATGTTGTTGGCGTCCTGCGTGGACCCGAGAGCGAAATTGGCGTTCTCGTGGTTACCGTGGCCCTCGTGGTATTCGGCCGGCATCGGCATCAAGACTTCGTCGTCCTCCGCAACGTGTGTTACAATCTCGCGGTCGCTGCCGCTGATCGCGGCACTCGCACCTCTCTCTATCTAATTACTTCGGTCTCACTCACACACACATACACACACACACTCTCTCTCTCTCTCTCTTTCTCTCGCTCTCACTCTGGCAGTTTCCCCGTGGATTCGGATCTATCTTCTCTCTTTCTCTCGCGCTCTCTATCTCTCCCGTCAACTGAATGATACGGTCAACATCTCACGGCATAGTCACTCCATAGTGTTTGTTTGCTCATCGTCGATCCGCTACTACCAAACTTTCGCTCCCGTCTGCCTCACCAGTGCGTCCTCTGCCCGTCTGTCTCTGTTCCCCCGAGGGTGGAGAGGGGAGGGGGGTTTCGCTCTTTCTATTACCCTATCTCCGTCCTCCTCTATTTCTCCCTCTTTCCGCTTTGTCTCTTTCGCTCCTTTAATCCCTCCCTCCCTCCAGCTTGCCTGCGGGGGTTCGCACGGTGTCTCTCTTGTCTATCTCTCTCCTTTTCGGACCGGAGTACTACGTGCGTGCTTACCGTCAAAACTGTTATGTTCACAACACTCGTACACAAGTATAACGTTCCGCTGTTCAGTTCGGTTCGTTCCGTTTTCAACGACACGCTACCCGACGATGAACGAACGAACAAACGAGCGAACGAACGATCGTGCGTGTCGTGCGTGCGAGCGACACGCAACAACTGGAGGGCGGGAAAATCCCCCTGTACGCGGCGCGTACAGTCGGCGATTTAGGCGACTGCCGACTCACGTGCGGTGTTCCCCCGTGTGCCGAGGGCTAACAATCGTCTCGGCGGCGGCCACAGCTACTGCCGCTCGTACCACCGAGGCCGACACGACCCGCCATTTTCGTGTCGGCGAGCGCGAGCCGCTATAACGCGGACGAAGGCTGCGCCGGAGTATCCCGGCCACCTGACCCGATCGAACGAACAAACACCACGCACTGCGAGTCCGTTCGCGACTGTCCACGAATATCACTCACCCCTTCACTCTCGAGCGGCGTTCACCGTTCGCCGCGTCGTATATGCGTCCTTCGGGCCAACTCGCGGCTGTGCGAGTCGCGAGAAGCCAACGCACTCCGGCCCGAGTAACGGAGAAATAACCGATGGCGAACGCGGAGCATGCCAGCGCCGCTGTAGGGATCGCGTGAAACAGGACGGAGCATCTAGGGATTTTTCTAATCCAATTGCGTTTTCCACTTAAAAACTAGTTTTAAACATGGTGCGATTGAGTGCCAATCGGTTTGTATATTTAGTGTTCTAAAATAATTTAATTCTTTCAAGGTGATGAGATTGTTGCGATTACAAAAAATACTTAATTGAAAGGATTGAATTATTTATTAATACCGAAAATAGAGGCGAATTGATTTGCTTTCAATTGCACTCTGTGTACATCAGTGTTGCGCTAGTTTTTCCAGTGGAAGACCCTACAAGTTTGCTCGACCAGATAACTGCTTGCGATTGGTCCACCATCTTTGTTAAATTCGCGCCAGTTTTCAATTTCTCAAATTTCTATTTTCATTAAATATATAAGTAGTATTTTTATAATGACTCTTTGCATACATGTAAAAAATGCATGAAAAAATTTTTTTCCGTATAAATGAAAATATAAATCTTTCTACATCAATAGATTTTCAATAAATGGTAATTTTAATATAAATGTAAATAATTCTTATGTAAATATAATTTTATTATGTTAAACCTAAAGTACATATATAATTAATTTTATATTCAATTAAACGGCCAGTTGCTATTTTTTACCATGTTGCGATTGACCACAACCCATTCACAGAGGCTAGAATCTTGGAATTTTTTTACTAGATCAACCAATCAGAATAAGGTCTTATATTGAATTGACTAATTGGCGCTGTGAACAATCAAAGACTATTACATACTTTCATATTATAATGTAACGAACAATATACGTTTTAATCCATTATTTGTTTAGCAATTTATAGTTAAACTAAATCGTCCTCTTTCTATTTGTTTTTGTAATATATATATAACAACTGAAGAGTATATATTATAGATATATATTATACATTTAATAATTTTTTATTAATATTTAAAAATAAGTGGCTTTTTAAAGAAAAACTTTACCAATCCTAATTTTAAAATGTGAGTATTTGTTGTAATAAGATAGTCCAGTGATCACATGGTATTTAAAATTAAAAAAAAATTGATAATTTTTTTTTTAAATCGTCGCAATATGCCAGCTCCTACCGTGATTCGCTTTTATAAAAAAATATGAATATATATATTATTGCTGCAGAGAATATACATTATTGCTGCTTAAATGACGGAGGGATTGAGTCAATTGGGATCGAGTAATTGTTGCGATTGCAATGAATAAGTGTAATATAAATAATAATGTATATAATATATACACGGTGTATCTGAAATAATGTACACTAATCATACAATGCTATTCCTAATAAAAAACTGAGTCGAAAAGTTCTCTAACATTTTGCAATTTTCGCAATAGTTAACAAGATATTAATTACTAAATATCGCTAAATATTGGTTTTCAATAATTTTTTACTCAAATTACTCAACTTTACAGAAAAACTGCAACAAACAAAAATCATTTATTTTCTTCTCATAAAACTCTAAGAATTTTTTGAAAATTTTTTATCAACTTTTTAGTACTGCATTTTCTTATTTTTACCAACATGAGAAAATACGGTCTGAAAAAATTCTCATAACTTTATGAGAAAAAAGTAAACAATTTTTATCTCCGACAATTTTTCCGTAAAGTTGATAGTATTTGAGTAAAAAATGATTGAAAACCAATATTCACACAGCGATTTTTTGTAATTAATATCTTGTTAACTATTGCCAAAATTGCAAAATGCTAAAGGACTTTTCGACTCAGTTTTTTATTAGGAATAGCACTGTATGATTAGTGTATGTTATTTTAGATATACCCTGTATAATTAAACAAATTACGAAACATTGAATAGTATAATAATTATTGTTAAAAGAGAATAGGTTTCAGGTTGTAGAGAGATCGTGGAGAATGAAATAATGTTTGTGCGTAGTATATGAAATATTTATATTTACGAAATTAGTCTTTTTCTATACAATTGCTAATGCGCAGTCACATACTTCTCCATTTTGTCGGAATCGCTAAAGAGAATCGCGTACGCGTTGAACAATTAAAATTACTCATCTGTTTGTAGAACCTGTGCGAGCTTGCCTTGCTTTCTCGTGAAAATGTTTTTCGATGCGCCTGACTAATAATAAATAGAGCAACGAATAAATGTCGATTTGATGAAAATACACGTAACACAAAGATATATTTATTATATACATAATATATATAGTGCCTCCTTTTATAATAATACACATCCGCAAGAACGTTTATAATTTAATTTCATGGAATTTCGTTAATTATCTGTAAGGCACACCCCACGGTCGTTACCAAAGTAATTTTGTGTCCTTTCTCTATCTCCTTTTCTCTTTCTCATATTTTTTGCGTTATATATAATATCATATAAATAACTGTATACCATTGTGGATATATTCTATTAGAGCCTAAATTTATTATGCATTTCTATCTTTAAGAATAATTAATGCGCTAGAGATATAGAGGCAATAATCTGTTCTGTACATAATCCTATGTCTTTCTTATCGATTCCTTTAAGATAATGTACCATTTTTTTTTTCATTAATGATAATAATGATAGTAACGTTATAAGAATAACGGGAAAATGCATAAATGAGATGTATAGGATGAGACCTGCTCGTGCACAGATTTACGCGTGCTCACCCATCCTCATCGCGATATACAAAATATGAGTAGCAATGTCGAAAGTAAAAACATACGAATGACTCGTTCGATTGCTAATATACATTCCCGCGTTGACTAATAAGGATTTATGATCGTCTTAAAAAAAAACCGCGCATATCGATTCTTTTATTTTTTTCCTTTCTTTTCTAGAAAGCTTTTCATTCGTTTTACTTGCAGGTCGCGTATGATAAAAATATGTGTAACATGTATACACGCACTTATAATTGCATTTTTTATCCATAACGTTTTTGTATATTACCACTCATGACTTTTTCTTTTTGAATATCTTGTATTTAATATTAATATAAAATACCTATGCCGCCATTGACAAAAATTTATGCATTTGTATGTACAAGTATAGCTTTCCCAAAATCCAACTATCTGGCTTCATCGTCTCTCTCTCTCTCTCTCTCTCTCTCTCTCTCTCTCTCTCTCTCTCTCTACTTACTAAGATACTATTGTTTTATGAATAAAAAAATACTAATATATATCGCATTGTCGTTGCACGGGCAGTGTTTGCGTAGTGTTTTGTCCACTCGTAAGGCACCAACTCTATTGGGATCCTGAGATTCAACCCGCATGCTTCGACAGATTCAGAGGCATATCTGCAAACGAAAAATAGAGTCATAAACATTTTCGAATGTCCTAAATGTCCCGATACTTATTTTATTTATGCTACGTAAATGAACATACCTGAAGGAGGTGTGAGAGTTTGTTCCCTGTAGTCTTTGTAATGTGGGGACAACGGATGAGAATGCGGCGATGCGTATAATTGCATGGGAGGCGGATAGTGGACGGGAGATGGATAATGAGGCGCCATCCATAAAGGCGCCGCTCTGTACGGTCCAGGTGGCAACATCGGTATCCCGTAGAGCGGATGATGAACGGATGTATTGCTGGATCCGATGTAGGGATCGATTCGTACCCTCGGATAGGCGTTAGTCGATGAGTATTTCACAGGCTGCCGGTCGTCCGGCTTCAACAATGTCCTCAAGAAACCCGGCTCGGGACTCGGTTTGTCCTCCCCCAGAATACTCGTTATACTGTATGATGACACTTGCTTCGAAGAGGGAGTCGGCGGCGCACTCGTTGTGCAAACCGGCTGTGGAGTGGCTCGTCTCTTGGACGCCTGATCCTCCAGCGAGACTCTCTCCAACTCTCGCAGTATACGTTTGCGAGGTGACACGACGTTAGGATCCAGCAGGCGAGCCAATTTATCGATGATCAGACTAAGAACTTTGCCCGACGACGACGTACCATTCAATTTCCGTGACAATCTCGTCGAATTAGCCGTTGATTCCGGAATTGAGATCACGGTCGTGGAATCTAATGGGCGTCTGCGTTTCCTCGTTATCAAGCGAAGATGCGCGCACAAACGAGTCTTCGGATTTCGACGATAATAAAAATTAAATTCCGTGGTTATCCTGCGTCGGGGATGGGTCTGCTTCCAGCAGTGATCTCTCTGCCAAGGACTGGATTGGACCGACGAATTGTCATCGGAAACTGAGAACAGAATGCAGAGTATGTGTTACGTATACGAGGATATCTGGATTGATTGTATTGCCTATACATTTTTTACAACAATAACGTAAACCAGAGTAAAAGGTCTGGAAAACAATAATAAACAAATCTATTTTCGAAAATATAATAAATGTATGTAAAAAATAGTGAAATAAAAAAAACTATAATATGCATTGATGCTTCCTTTGACCCACCACTGAGGGAAGTAGAGCTCTCCTGCCGATTTGGGATGGTGCTGGCGGGTGGCCAAAAGGTTTTCTTTGGCACGGGAAACCACGTAGTCTTTTCTCCGTCCCTGCGATGAGACAATTCCAGAATGAACTTTCCATCTTTGAAGAATTTCAAGCGACCACCAGGAGTTGGCAGCAGATTGCTGTCGATGCGTTGTGCCTCGGTATGATGAGCTGGCTGGGGACTTGAATTTTTACCATTTGCCTTGGCGAGGGTCGGGTGCAATGTAGGTGGATCACGCGAGCACATCTCTGTCGTGCCCCTCACGTGACCTGCGTGAGCATGACATTCTGCTGACTTTTCGCGCATGCTGATACTTTACCGATATCCATTTTCCTCCGCTGGACCTCTCATACTTGGACTTTCCAACGTGTGACGCAACAGGATAACAGAACTTGTTGACTTTCTCTCAAACAGTTAAACCTGAAACGTCGTAGCGTTTGGACTCAGTCGCGAGGAACATCCTCGTACTCCGGAAATCTCCTTTCTCTGTCCTCCGACAAAATGAGGACCTGACAATTTACAAAAAGTCTGAGGCACGTGTGTCACGTGGACAAGCGGACCAAACTCATGCCACTTGGGCGGGACGTCAGAAATAGTGGAGCACAGAAGTCATGACTCGCGGGCGATCATGATGGCTGACAGACACACAGGTTTGGCTCGGTCGTGCCCGTTTATTCGTTCTCGAGGCACACAGAAGGCAGAAGTGCGTGACCGTTCTCCAGGGTGATCTGTCGCTGGCTCGGTCGCGGTGTCATCGTCCCAGTGGAGTCAACAGCGCGCGGATAGCAGCGTCAAACGCTCCAGACGGAGGGACGACATATCTCATTTTTTTTTCTTCCACTCGGGGAATACAACGTGCGCGTGCCAGCGGCGATCGACGCCGGGTTACTCCGGGTTATTCCGGGTGTGCCGACACCACGTCGGGCGGCGCGATCGGTATCAGTTCGACCGCGACGGCTCGCATTCGCGGGGCGCACGGAGAAGAAATCCCGTGTGCATGAGTGTTGGCGGTCGCCAGACACCCACCCACCCACGCACGCACTACCGCCTTCCGCTTCTGCTGGCTACTCCGCCGCCGCCGGAGCGTGGCGCATCGTCCTGGTGAACTTCTGCGGGAACGGTCGCCCCGAGCTCCCGCGGTCCGCGTGCCCGAGACCTCGCGCAGCCCGCGGTACGGCGACGGTACGGCGACGGGCAGCAGTCCGCGGCGGTGGAAAACACCGCACGGCCGCGACACATGTGTTTCACTACACCCCGCGAGCAGTCCGCGCGTCCGTCACCGGCACGGGCCCCCGGTATTCACGAGCACGCCAGTCGCAGAACACCAGCCGTCCGACGTCCGTTTCGCTCCTCACGCGATCCTCACGGCCCCCGTGACGTCCGCGGGGCAGGGAGGGGAGGAGGGGGAAAAAAGAGCGTGGACGTACTCCGATCACCTCCTTGAGTCGACGGTGTCGACCCTTCTCGTCGACAACACTAGTGGCGGTGGCGGTTCACGTTCCACGCGTTCCCCGCGTCCATGTCCCCCTCCACTTTTCGCATTTTCGTGATTTCGACCCGAGACTCGCGAGAAACGCAACGCGTTTCCGCATTGAAGATTTTCGTCCCCGATCGCGGCGTCTGCCTCGGTGGCTCGGTAAAAATCGCATCCGCGAGCTTTTTCTATCTCTCTCTCTCTCTCTTCCGTTCCTTCTCTCCCTCCCACTTTACCGAAATGCTCGCGTTTCGCCTCGTTAATGTAAAATCGCGGAATATTTCACTCGTTCCACTTGTCCGACTCCTGTCTCACGACGTAATTATAGGAACGCGCGCGAAATTCGTATCGGCGCGATCGCGATTCAACAAGCCCCTCTTTTCTTTTTTTTTTCCTTTCTCATTTATACATTCGTCATTATTTTATATATTTTATGGATGTATCTCTGTATTTATTTTTTCGCAATCTCTATCTGTATTCTTCAGCAAAATATATGTTTGTCTCTTGTTGGGCGACACCATACATACGCATTCGCTATCCGGAACAGACGAGTATCTTTATGTCACCGTTCAATTAAATGACGTGAACAATATTGTTGTTGCTAATTGCAACCATAAGAATCACTGCGGATTTTAACTCAGTCTTTTTTTTTCTTGCACGTTCAAAATCGTTTAATTGTTTTCCATGTACGAGAAAAACGGCTACGACGTCAAAATGCAAATAACAGAAACGATAAAAATAAACGCAGCTATGTATTTGTTAAAAATATTTGAAAAAAAACTGACAATAATCAATATTTACATGGACTTTCGTCGAGAATCGTCTCCCACGCTGCTTTTTAATTTTTTCCTCGCAGTTGTGATATTATACGCAACGCATAAAATGGAAAGAGGTACAAAACATTTGACAAATACCTCCACTTTAGCGGGCAAAATATAAGAAAGTGTGACAATTACTCGTATTAATTACTTTTAAAGGATATGCTTTATATATTGCAATAAGTGATGTATGCAACGCGATTTGTGTTAAAGATAGGGATAACTTTATTAAAATAATTTTATATACATCAGTCAATGATTTCAGAAAAATTTTTGAGATTCGGTAAGGTTGAAATGAAGTTTCAGAAAAGAAGGAAGGATACAGCAATAGGAAAATCGTTGAATAGAAAAATAATTGAATGTACATTCTTATACATATTAAAATTTAGTCAAAGACATTCTTCATTCATTCAATCAGATTTAAAAGTAAATAGTCGCTTAATATTTATATCTGTTGTTCATCAATGCGTCTTTGTAAATATTTTTACCGCGAAGCATCAAGCCTTGACAAGGGGAATTGTGCACGTCCAGGGTCGGTTCATCATCGGCAGCTCTCACTTGTATGAGAAACATGCGTCGACTTCTATCAGATAAGTTCAGATACGAACCGTGAAGTAGTAGATAAGAGAAGAAGACAATTTCACCCTTCTTGGCAGATATGGGAATAGCTTTGGACAAAGGGTATTCCTTAGGATCGACGTAGTGAATAGGATCACCTCTCTCATCGGTCACTTTAAAGTCCTTCAACGGTCCCAGTTTATGACTGCCAGGATATACCGCCAAACCACCATTTTCCGGCGTTGTATCGTCCAAATGTAGAAACACAGCCAGCATAGTGTGTTTCTTGTGAGGAAAATAAGGATAGTCTTGATGCATCAAGTAAGGTGATCCTTTCTCTGGCGGCTTTACGTGCGCCTTGGTATGATGCAATATTATATCCTCGGTGCCCATGACATCCTCAAGGGCGTCCAATAATTTCGGGTGCGTTATGGTCCGAGTAAAAACTTCGCTGTGCATTTGCAGATTGTGGATTGATTTTACCTGATACATAAATGAGAATATGTACAATATAGTGTAATATAATATACAGGGTGTTTTAATCAATGCACTTAAATTTATCTGAAACTATGCAATTTTGGTTGCAGGCATTAAAGTCAATCATAGGTCAACTGTTTTTCTTTTTAAACAGGTTCAATATCTCGCATTCAATTCTCAGTTTCGGAGAAATTCAAGTGCATTTCTTAAAATCTTGCCTTATCTTGCCTTATAATAAATCAAATTTTACAGAATGGATGTAATAAGTGCACTTACAGTGTAATCTTCAGCAATGCTTCCAGCCAATTTCTTCATATCTTCTCCGGCCCATCTTGACTCCAAGCCCGACAGATTTTCGCGATATTTTCTTTCAAACAATTCATCGTAGGTATCCGATATCTCGTTTATTTCCTTCGTAGAAAATACATTCGATAACTTGATGAAACCATTATCCTCCCAGAATTGCTTCTGCTCCGGCGTTAAAAATTTCAAAGCGACCATTTTCAATTGCGAAACTTTTTTATGCGAGATGTTAATAATTTCTCTCTTTCAGAGTTAAATAATCCAATGTTGCGTCTCGCGACAACGATTAATATATGGTTTGCCCTACTCTAAAAATGTTTCTTTGGGAGGGATTATCTATATGCGATAAAAAGTATACATTTATGTATAATCATTGTTGCCTAAACATCATCTTGTACATTTCTTATCCTTTTATAAGATTTCTTAATAATTGCGTAACTTATAAGACAGATTAGTGGTGTAACAATTAATTACAACTCGATAAGTAAAAATATTTAACATTATAATTATATGTATAAAATAAAATATCCATAGTAATTACAAAATTTTTCCTATAATAAATCAGTAATATTCTTATCTTACCATTTGATTATAATTATCTATTAATCAATAAAAAATCTATTATTATAGATAATTTTAAACTGTAATTTTTATTACATAATTTTGTATAAGACTTATCATGTTTGTGGTATGTTGATAAAGAAAAATACTGTCTTGCGCTCTCTCTCTCTCTCTCTCTCTCTCTGATAGTGATTGGAAATTTCTATCATATGACCTCAAGACATTTGTCAAGTCATACCGACATGTCAGTACGCATCATCAACGCAATGTCAGCAGTAAAAACATATATATCAATGCTTAATAGTATCTCGTTAATCTTAATTATATAATATGAATATGCATAATATAAATCTATTTATAACATCATGGAAAAAATGAATCACTCTAATCTATAAAAATTTTGAATTCTGCTATATCATGCTACAAAGTTATGGTCACAAATAGAATTTAAATCCTTTTATGATCTGTTTTGACTGATACCACCGATAGGAAGACTGAGTCGAATTGTTATACTGAGTATATTGCACATCATCTTTGTTCTCTAAGTAAGTCTCACACGAGTCATGATATACTTTAACAAGTGTCCTGCAGTTGCACTGTATCTCTACTTGGTCACTCTGACGTAGTTTAATCTTGAAGCAATTTGCTGTCTGTACAGGCGGTACGTATTGCGGTTTAGGTAAAAAGAAATCAGATACCGAATTACTGTCGCTCTTCTTCAGCATGATGAACATGTTTGTCATGTTTAAAGGAGCGTTCATAGCCTTTTGAAACGCGTTGCATTCAAACATAGACCTAGAAGTACAATAATCTGTATAAGTGTTTCGATGTAAATTCATAAGCGTATTCTATCATTACTTTTCTTTATTAACCTCATAAGTTTCAAAAGCGGTTTCCTGGAGGAATGTTGATACTCTTTGTGCTGCTTGCTATTGAGAACATACGAGGGAAGCTCTATGCCAATGTAAAACTTCGGTGATAGTATCGTAGCGCCAAGTATTATGGCAACTTCCTTCATATCGCAACCCTTGAGGAAGAATTGCGAGGACAAATGATCCTCAACGTTCTTCAGCGTGTTCGATAGAGCTTTGAAGGAGACTGCGTTCCTATCTGTTGTATTATGGAACCTCTCTAATGCCTCGTACGTTAAAGGTATCTGCTGCTTTTGGTACAGAATATATTTTACGAGCTCCATCACAACTTTTGTGCACGAATCACTGGTCCACGGTTCGTCCAACATCACGTCAATCTCTATTTCACCTTTTCTGTCTCTGGAGAACATTTTAAAAAGTAATAAACTCGAAGTGGAACCTGTGGAGATTTTATTTTGAAATCTTTGTCCGCCAAAAAAAAGAAGAAAGCTGAATGTTTGTCAGAGAAATTTGCACTGCATTCACGCGAATCTTTCGCGCGTCTCGTCAGTCAGGTTATATTTAAAAAAATTAAGTTAGGTTAGGTGATTGAGCTAATCCAAAGATTCCGTTCTTTGAATTTTTTCGTCCTTTTTTTCTTTTTCTTTAATGCTAATTAGACACCTATCGTTTTAGGTGCAGAAAGCGTAGCTCAGTGCAATCGCAAGGAACAGATATTTCCCGTGATATTAGCGCCAGATGTTGGTTGCCATGCCTGGTTATAGTTACTAAATTCACTTTATTTATATTCCACCGTTGAGCCGTTGAGACTCATGAATTTTGAAGTTTCAAAAAGTTGTGGGAATTAAAAAATAAAATTTTACGATGGAATTGAAGACGAGACAAACGAGGAAGCTGCTGGAGCTTTTGGAGCAGCAGGTAATCAAATTTGTTATTTTCGATCGATTTAGTAGTTGTACTATAGTGTCTAATAAAGCCAGCTATAAAAAATTGTCGATACAGAGACTTCGCGTTGCAAAATATAAAAATTATAGAGACTATGGTTAACTTATTGTTTGAAAACGAAAGTCACAATCACTTCTTATTTTCTTTTCAGATCAACAAATTGTATCTATTGCTGACCACTGCTTCTATTAATCCGTCAGACATTTTGGCTATGAAATCGTTACTCCATGAGCAACTGCATTTTTTAACTCAGAGATTCAACAATTTAGGCGATGATAATTGCGACTCTGAAGAGGCAAATGTAAAATTTGCTGATACAGTAACAAATTTGAAATATACTTCTCTATTGAAAAATATTGATGAGTTTGTAAGTTAGAGAAGAATCTTGTAATATTTGATATTGTTTTTATTCCTATTAAATGAGTCATTTGTTTTCCTTTCTTTCTTATTATCTTTTTTAGATTAAGGATATCAAATATGATAATATTGATAGCAATACAGTCAAACATAAGACAGAATCATTGCTTAATAATTTTACATCAGCTTTACGAGTGTTGGAAGATTTAGAATGCTTGCCATTGAAGCAGAGGCTTCA